ACATCAATACAGCAAAGCATCGATCAGCTGTCCCCTTCATGCCCCCTACCGGGGATCAAGCTTGCAGCCTCAGTATGTGCCCTGACTGGGAATTGAGCCAGCATCCTTTCTTTCCTTTCTTTCGTCTTCCTTTCTTCCTTTTCTTCCTTTTCTTCCGTTCTCCTTTCCTTTCTCCTTTCTTTTCTTTCTTTCTTCTTTCTTATCCTCACTTGAGGATATGTTTCCATTGATTTTTAGAAAATGTGGAAGTTAAGGGAATGACAGAGAGAAACATCAAAGTAAGAGGAACACTTTGATTGGTTGCCTCCTGCATGAGCCCTGACCTGGGCCCTGGCCAGGGAGGAGCCTGCAACCTAGGTACATGCCCTTGGTCAGAATTGAACCCAGACCTTGTGGTGGGCAGGCCGAGGCATTATCCACTGAGCCAAACTGGCTAGGGCAGGATATGACATTTCTTAGCCCTCCAGCAGCGGACCTTCATTTTTTTTCTCCAGGAGTGTGGTGGAAAAACCCTAGATCACCTTTTTGGATTCTTATTACCCAAGTTACTAAGAATATTACCAGTGGCATACAGGGAGCTTAGACAATGAGCGGTCAGAAAAGGTGTTTCCTTTGTAGTTCACACCAGTCACTGCTTGGCCCCTGCCCAGGCCTCAAGCCTCCAGCTCCCCCTGATCGCCGGCTCCACCCCTGCCCCCAGCTCCCTCCGATCGCCGGCTCTGCCCCTGCCCAGACCTAAAGCCTCTGGCCAAGGCTTTAGGCCTGGTCAGGGGACCCCAGCTCCCTCCGATGGTCGGCTCCAATGGCCAGCTCTGATGGCAGGCTCCCAGCGGCTCCAGTGGCTGGCTCTGCCCCTGCCCAGGCCTAAAGCTTTAGGCCTGGGCAGGTTTCCCCTGGCTCTGATTGCAGGCTCGGCCCTGCCCAGGAGCCCCCTGGCTCAGGCCCTTCCTAGGTTGCTCAGGGCCCACACAGGGCCTACCTCAGAGTGACCTGGGTGCCGATGATATTCCCAGGACCCAGGCTGCTGGGCACCTACATATGCAAATTAACCGCCATCTTTGTTGGGTTAATTTGCATACACATCCAATTGGCTGGTGGGCATAGCGGAGTGACACCAATTTGCATGTTTCTCTTTTATTAGTATAGATTGTTTCCCTTCCTCTGTTGACAGACATCACCAGCAATCATTGCTTATGTCACAGTGCAAGAAGTGCCTAGCATGCACTTGAGCTGTTACCTTCCCTTTGTTAATTCAAAACTAGGAGGCAAAATAGTCAGTGACCTCAGTTCATCCTATTATAAAGTAATTTAATTGTTGTATATGGTGGTTGCAAATTCAATTTAATGGATTTTACAAATTAGTTACTGTGTGCAAAGCATCCCTTTGGACTTAGAGGGAAAGACAGAGTTATATATTTCCTCATGATAATGTAGAATATGGACAGGGAGACAGACAGACTGTAGACAGCTCACAAATACAAGGTCATGCTGGCTGATGAGAGTATAATGGAAGAATAGAGGAGGAGGGAGAGAGTTCATTTGGTAAAGTCTTTCTAGGGAGGGAGTTTGTACTAGACAGAAGGATGCAGTGAGGGTACTAGTGAGGATATCCACCTGTTTAACAAATTTCTCCCCTGATCTCCAGACCTGTCTGATTCTTGACCTTGAGGAAAAGAAGTTATAGAAAACATGATAATAATACTGCTTTATTTCCTGTTGCTCAATTACCCAGTTGTCAGTCTAAAAGCAAGTGAAAGGATTACTCCATGTTAATTATTTATATTCATTTCCCTTTTTTACCCTCTTTGTAATTCAGGATTTTTCCTAACCTATTTCATTTTTAGTAGAAAGCTTCCCACATGCTTCTCCATTAATTAAGCCACAAATAATTTCCCAGGAGTTATTCCATTTCTTTGTTAACCTGTCTGTGAAGGAGTAGGTATTATTAAGGATTATTAATCAGGAAAGTAAGAGGCAGACCACATTTCTATCAAGTATCAGAACTTCTGTGCTGTCTAGATTTTTTAACTGACGCTGGTACAGTTTTACTCCTGGGAAAAATGCCATGAAATGGGCCTTCATTTTCTGGTTTGGAAATCTTATCCCTAAGTCAGGTGTTCAGAAATGAGGGTAGGAGCACAAACCCGCCAGTTCTTTTCAGCTGCTGTGCAGCTGTTCTGTTAATAATGGGTGGCCAGGCACAGCCGTAGGGGAGCATGTTCACCTGAGGTTAGTTAGCCCACTCACCTGACTACACTGACAGCCTCCAACATACCTTCTTTATAACTTCTTTTAAAATCTCTGAGTGATTGTATTTAAAAATATTTTATGTTCTTCAATTGAATGTAAGTAACCTGAAGTCATTAAAGGAGAGTAGTGTGGCATAATTTAGATATTATCTAAACCTAATCTTTTTCTTTCTTTTTTATAGCCCAAAACAGCTAAATCACACTCAAAGACAAAAGACAGTGATGAACCTCATCGCTCTAAGAATGACAGGCCTGCACGGTAAGTTGATACCCACAGCAGAGAGTGAGAACTTGACTTTTCCGAGAGTAAGGAGATGTTGTTGCCTGTGGGGCGTGTTTGTTCTTTGGGGAGGAGATCCAGGCTTCTGCCATTGAGGTGATATCAAGTCTTGCAGGGTATTCTCAGACTTTTGTTTCCAGTCTTTTAAATTGAGTTTGAACAAGTCAAATCAGAAAGACAGGGAATTTCATCAAAGCTGGGGCATAGAAAGGAAGGATGTGCTTTTTGTTAGGACCAGTTCTTGCCTCTGTCATCACTGAACTGATGCCCTCAGCTAAGAAGAGACGAGGTTAAACTGTTTCCTAAAATCTCAGGTTTTAATTTTTTACTGAGGTTCATGATCACATTGGTGGGGTCCTGACATTTACACATGCTTAAATTCATTTTTGTGTGAGTCTCAGCATCCTAGGCAAATACTCCTTGAGTCTTTGCAGACTGTTCTAAATCCCACCAGGTCAAATGACTGTGGCTGTGGCATATGTACTTTCTGACTTCTCTCAAGCAGTCTTAGGTCAGAATAATGGAGCAGCTGCTGTCTTTCCACCTCAAGTTGTCAGCCTCTAGATCTCTGGGGAAGCAGCCTTTTCTTTTTTCTTCATTGCTTTCTGTTGCTTTTCAAAAGAAAATATGATTGGAATAGGAGTAGAGAACATCCTATCTAATAAAGAGGGAATATGCTAATTGACCATTGCAAAGATGTGGGCATCTGATAGAAAAATGGCTCTTATAAATAAGTGAAAAGTTACATAAGACTAATCAAACTGAAATCTCATTTGACCAGAGAGGAACATTTATCTTTAAATATCATTTACACAAAGATTATATATATATATGACAAAACAAAAATGAAGGATTTTATGGAACCCGTATGTTCCCAGTTAAAAATTAAAGCCTGTTATCTTGGTGCTGTCTGTGCAACTAATATCAGAGTGTATGCTTTCTGGTTAGAATCTATGTATTCCTCTTTCAAAATTAATGGTATTCTGGCCGGGTTCCTCAGTTGGTTCAAGTGTTGTCCTGTACACCAAAAAGTTTCAGGTTTGATGCCCAGTTGAGGCGCATACAGGAGGCAACCAATTGATGTTTCTCTTTCATATTGAACTCCCTCCCTCCCTCCCTCCCTTCTTCCCTCCTCCCCTCCTTCCCTTCCTCCCTCCCTTTCCCTTTTTCTCTCTCTAAAATCAATAAAAATATGTCCTCAGGTGTGGATTAAATAAAAATTGTCATAGTAGAAACGTTTAGCCATTTGTATAGAAAGAAATGGTTTCAGTGATTGAAAAACGTGGATCTGCCTAGGTCAGGATGTTTACTTCAGTGCAGCAATGATAGTAGCAGAGGGGATGCAGAGTCTCAGAGCTTGCAGCATTTATGCTCAAAAGTCAATTTCTTTGTCTAAGATTTTCTACTCTTTCTAAAGAAATAGGGAACCAGTTGGCAATCTGAATAAATTTTACTACTTTGTAATTGGAAGAAGTTTCAACCCAAGTTCCCAATTATTTTAACTACAGCATTTTATAGTGGTAGTACTACTTGGTATTTTATTTTTCTCATAGTTTTGAATGAAGACACAGCCACTAATACAGACCTCTGTGGCAGAGCATAGTATGGTGGTTAAGAGCACTGATTTTGAAGGCCATGTGAGTTTGAGCCCTGTCTCTGCCATTTAACAGTTGTGTGAACTTGGACAGATCACTTACCTCATCTTATCTAACCTGACTCTAAAATACGTGTATGATAGCTACTATGCAGGCTTAGCTTCAAAGTTAATTAATTGAGATATATTCATATAAAATCTATAGTGGAGTCCTTACTATATATATAAGTTTACATCCCTTGCTGACCTCTTGTAGATACTGAATATATAGGCGAGGCCTACCATTTGGGGACAGGGTGAGAAATTTGAAAACACTTGCATTTATTTTTATATGACAGAGACCATTGTACCTAACTAACTGTAACTTTCCAAACTTCAGACTACTTATGCCTTCCAGATTGTATATTTAGTTCACAAAATATCCTACAACATGCTTGTATGTTGACAGATCTTAACCTTATGTGGTTTCATGATTTAATGCAACATTTGAGTATACCTTTGGGAAACAATGGAAAATAAGAGGTTCTATTCTTCATCTTCATTAAAGCCAAATGTTTGCAAAAATCTGTGTCACATGATTAAAATAATAAAAAGTTTAGAGCAGTACAAATTTTCCAGTGTTTTCTTTTGACTTGAAAAGTTGACAATAGATGACTGCCTTTTCCTTCTCTAAGCTCTACTTGGCCACCTAGTGGATTAAATAATTTTGCAGTAAATTTTGTGTGTTAAAACAATGTCCCTTCTCTTCCCCTCTCCTTGGTCCTTCCTTATCTTTCTTTATTACTTTCTTCATTTCTATTCTTTTCTGTCTTCCTCTTTTTCTTTGTAAAATCTACCAAAACAAAGTAAATTTTTCATTAGGGACAGTGGTCACATCACATTAATCTTTGTTTCTCTAGCTTCACACATATTGGGTATTCAAAAATATGCTCTTTTATTGAACTATGTGCATAAAAAATAAAGGAACAATAAGATAAAATAATTTATCCAAGGTCATGCAACTGGCCAGGAACTAAAGTGAGAATTCTCAAACATTCTGACTTCGCATTTGTACTGAAGATGTTTTTACCATGTGATCCAATGAGCAGTAGAATTGTAATCACCAGTACTTAGAATATCTCTAAATTCAGACCTCCCTCCAGGCCGCCACCACCTACCATGACAGATGCTGAGGATTTGGATTACACTTATTCCACGCGTCATTTCTCAAAATCAGAGTCCTCTCATAAAGGTAAGAAAAAATATATATGGTCAAGTGTAGGATCTTTTTAAGTAATCCTTGTGGTATGGTGGAAAAATCAAATGCTGGATTATAGATCACTAGAGTGGAGAAATTAGTTCTCCTTCCTCTCGGCACAGCATTATAATATTCTTCATTTAGTAAAGATAATTTTTAAAAATACAGAAAAAAAACACCTTAAACTGAATGCAAGATTTTCTTGTGTATTTCCATTCTCCTGCAGAGAGATTTCATTGCTTTCATTAGATTCTTAAAGGGTAACTGTGGCCACAATTTAGATTTCCTGGGATTTTTGTGTTTTAGCTTTTATTCCCATCTGCCCAAAACTCTAGTTATTGGACTTAAAAGTACACACATGTATACACACTGCACATAAAACACTTATGCAAAAGAAAAATGGGACAAAGAAAATGAGGAAAGAATATGAGATTTTAAGTTGGACCAGATCTTTAAAATGAAAGGAATGGTTGAAATGGTTGAATGTAGTTCTTTAAAGCATATGCATTCACTAAAGTATATTTTTAAGATAGTCTAAAATGAGATAATGAAGTACTTTCTTACATTAATTTCCTCATCTAAAAATGGAGGTGATTTTAATATTATCTGTGTTGTTAGAGTCATATAAGTAAAATATCTGAAAGCAGATTGCAGTTGACTTGCTAGATATTGATGTTTATTATTTCTTATGGTTTCTTCAAAGATTTATTAGGTAATGTTTTTATTATCCTTTTCCAGATCTAACTTTCCCAAATATTTTTAACTTTTTTTTTTTTTTTTCCAGTCATTACAAAATACCAATGTATAGGTGCCACTCCAAACCAATTACGTTAAGAATTTCAAGGGGAGGGAGGTTGCTGGTCATTGGTATTTTTTAAAGCTCTTTTGCCCCCAACCTCTCCATTCTGATAATCATTTAATGTTGAAAATAAGACAAAAGACATTATTTAAAAGATGGGATTAGTGGGACTTTATCAAAACAATCTATAAAGTACATTTCCCATTCTTTGGTGGCCTTTTTACCATCCTTAGTTTAATGGGAAGTAGCTAATGATTTGGTGGCCTTTTTACCATCCTTGGTTTAATGGGAAGTAGCTGATGATTTCTTTTTTTCCTTAAACTATAAACCTGCATTACTTTTAAGGGGTATCTTTCTGTTCTCGACATATATTTAGTACATAATATTAAAATAATACATTGATTCTTTTTTTTAAAAGAATATTTTTATTGATTTCAGAGAGGAAGGGAGAGGGAGAGAGACAGAAAATGTCAATGATCAATGATGAGAGAAAAACATTGATCAGCTGCTTCCTGCATTTGCCCCACACTGGGGATCAAGACTGCAACCTGACTATGAATAGAACCATGACCTCCGGGTTCATAAGTTGACTCTCAACCACGGAGCCACATGGGCCGGGCTACCACATTGATTCCTTATGTAAATATTTTGTAATCAAGAACAAAGAAAATATGATTCACTTGAAATACATATAAATAAAGATAAATAATTATGCTTAAGCAGGGAGAAAAACTGAGTTTCAAGGTTTATAATTTTTTATTTTTTAAAGTATTTTTAATTATAGTTGACATACAATGCTATATTAGTACCAGGTGTTCTACATAGTGATTAGACATTTATTTAACTTCCAAGTGATCACCTTAATAAGTATAGTTCCCATCTGACAATATGAATAGTTATTAAAATATTACTGACTATATTTCCTGTACTGTACTTTAATCCTTGTGACTATTTTTTATAATTGCCAACTTGTACATCTTAATCCCTCTACCTTTTTCACCCAATCTCTCAACCTCCTCCCATCTTGCAATCATCTATTTGTTCTCTGGATCTCTGAGTTTGTTTCTGCTTTACTTTGTTTTTTAGATTCCACATATAAGTGAAATCATATAGTATTTGTTTCACTCTGTCAGATTTATTTCACTTAGCATAATACCCTCTAGGTCCACCCATGTTGTCCCAAATGGCGAGATTTCTTATTGAATTGTATATATGTACTACAGCTTTTTAATCTACTTGTCTATAAATGTACACTTTGGTTGCTTTCATATCTTGACTATTGTAAATAATGCTGCAGTGAATATAGGGTTATGTATATTTTTTCAAATTGATGGTTTGGTTTCTTTGGGTAAATACCCCAAAGCAGAATTGCTCCATCTGTGGTAATTAACTTTTGAGCAATCTCCATGTCATTTTCCATAGTGGCTGCACCAATCTTCATTCCCACCAACAATGCATGAAGGTTCTCTTTTCTTCCCCTCTTTTCC